AGCTCACTTGGGAATATAAAAGCTTTGGTCGCATTTAATAGTCCTTCAGTGATATTGGAATTATTATAGTAATAGGAAATATTTTGGAAAGTTTATTATATAGTATATAAAAAAAAAAAATACTTTAATTTGTAGGCTTTTTGGAAAGTACAACAATAAGATCAATCAACCAATAAAATGATTGTCGAAGATCACCCTCGCATAAATATGGAGCTTTCGTCCACGACTCAACGCGAAAGCCGCAATTCTCTAATAATTCCAAAAACATTTGTGCTTCTTCCTCAAACGATGCCTCACGACCATTTCGCTTATTGGAATTATCCAGAAGTGGCCTTAATGGTAAATGCGATGTATTTGTTTCAACATAATGCATATATGGAAGAACTAATGCAATTACCGCGCGTCCTGTCGGAGCTAATGCAGTATGTATGTCTTCGAGTAGCTTGAAGGGATCGAAGCAGCGGTCTAATACATTAAGACATGAAATTAAATCTACATTCTGTAGCTCACGTATTTCAGTAACTACATTAAAATTTAGCTTCTTTAGCCTCTCACGCATTGTCCAACTGGCCTCAGTGGCAAATACTTGTAAAACTGCATTGCCGCTAAGTTCATTAACACTATTTGCCACACGCAACGAGACTTCCCCGTCACCGGCACCAATATCTAAGAGGGTTATCTAGAATAAACATAGCGGATGTCATTTCGGTCTATACGAGATAACTGTAGAATTTACCGGTTCGGTTAGAGATCTTGTTTGAAATCCACCTGCTTCCAGTAGTCTACAGAATTGCTCCTCTGACAAAATAAACATGGAGCCACGTTTTAAAAGTCCGTTGATATCGGTCTGTGTCATAAAAAACTGCAGAACGGACCTGGCCAATGCATGCCATAAATGCAACCAAATATTTGAAGACAACATCTTTGTGCGTTCCAGCCATCGTACTGTTGTCGGGTCAGGCTGTTTAAGATCCACAAATTTCGACTGAAATCTTGGAGGTAATTCACAATTCAATGAATACCACTGGAAATTTATATAATATTATAATGTTTATTTAAGAAAACTTGATAAACATGAACTTACCTGTTGTGTGTCTATGTTCTCTAAAAAATTGTCATTATGAAATTTGGCGTAAATAACGCGTGCCAAAGTGCCTCTGGGTCGATAAAGGGCCATCGTAAACTATTTAAACTTTGGCATACATACATCTTAACATATGCAGAAAGATTATATTATTAAATACATGCTCTCTTAGGAACACGACATGTTTAACTGAGTAAGCAATCTTCAATATAACTGTTATCTAGAACATATGTGTACATACAAACATACACTCACTCGATGACGACGCTATTTATACATTTTAAAAATATTTGATAAGTACATATAATATTCTGTTACTAAAAGTCGCAGCTTTCAATGATGAGGTTTTATTTAAATAGTTATAAGTATACTAAAATGTGCATAACTAAAAAAATATATTTAAATTTTTACTTTTAAAATATGAAAGAATATTTTGAAAGTATTTTTTTGTTTTGAGTAAACGAACAGCTATTAAAAATCTTGTTATATTAATGTTATCGACTCTAAGTACTCTATTAGTTACTTTGAGATAATAACATTTTACAAATATCGATAGTTTGAGTTTATGTTGCTCATCTCTAGTTTGTATATGTAGAATTTAAACTTATGTTAATCAATATAAAATGAGCATAAACATGTTAGGAAACATAGATGAAAAAAATGTTGTGGTTCCAAGTGTAGATGAGCTGCCATACTTCCCCGAAAAATTTCCCGGGAAAGTCTGTTGTCTTTGTAACCTTGGGGAGCGAAGCGGTCTTGGTCAAGGGACCATGCTTCAATTAAAAGTTCCTGCGGACCTCAAGGAAAGAAAACCCAATGAATCTGAAAAGGACCAGAGTATTATTCGCACAATGAAATCTGCGCTGAAAAGTAAAAATGTAGGCAACGGTGAGAACACCTATGAACTGGACAAAATCGGCTACACAGAGTTGCTAAATGCTGTGGTGTTCTTTGATGACGAGTTTGTTTACGTACATCGCATGTGCATAATGTGGACTCTGCGTAAAAAGGTTCAGATCAAGGATCCAGAAATATTGCAGTTCTTGAACAATTTAAACGAGTACTTAGAGCAGAAATGCAGCTTCTGTGGTCAATACGGAGCGTCCATTACGTGCAAAATGAATTGCCGACAAGTCCATCATTGGCCGTGTGCCGCTGCAGCCGGTTGTTTTCTCATCTTGGAAAGCTTCACTGTATTCTGCACGGAACATTTGAGTCAGGTGCCATTAATATGTAAGTTAGGCAAATGCATATAGGAATTACAAATATTTATTTTAATTCTGGTATAATTTGTAGGCACTGATAACAATGTTGGATGTTTAACGTGCTCATCACTGGGCGATCTGTCCAAGCTAATAATGTGTTGCTCGTGTGGAGACCATTTTCATTCCACTTGCATTGGACTAGCTAATTTACCTGGTAAGTCAATTGATGTTATATAATATATTTCCAGAATAAGCTTAGAAATTGTTTAAATTAATTTGTTGGCAAATTTATTAGACACGAGATCTGGATGGAGCTGTGCACGGTGTACAAAATGTCAGATTTGTAGACAACAGGAAGCAAATGACATTAAATTCATCAAGTGTGAGCAATGCCAAAAGATCTATCATGCCAGTTGCCTACGGCCTGTAATATCTTCAATCCCCAAATATGGCTGGAAATGTAATGTAAGTAAAACATCCATTATAGATCTATATATTTATATATTGTAATGAAGTGCTAGCTTAAGCCATGACAATTTGTATATTATAGCTATTAATGGAGCACTTTTACTTAATTTTTCGTTGTTTACATTTAATTGCAGCGATGTCGTGTTTGCACGGATTGTGGATCTCGAACGCCCGGTGGCGGTAGCTCATCTCGCTGGCACAGTCACTATACAATTTGCGATTCGTGCTATCAGCAAAGAAACAAAGGATTTTCCTGCCCAATTTGCCAAAAGGCTTATAGAGCTGCAGCCTACAAGGAAATGGTTAAATGCAG